GTTTTTAATAATGATTTCTCCATCGCTGGAACGCAAGGTAGCCAACATGTTGAAAACAGACTGTATACTCACTTTCGAGAAGGCGCAAGGGTTCACAGCTGCTACGGTGTGCGCTTGCTTCTCCGCTCAAAAGTGCACGGGAACGAAGATCGAGGGGTATGGTATTACACTCCAGCTCCAGCGACACCATCGCCATAATCGCTCCGGTTTCGACCTTGAGCGTGCCAGCCACGTGCGCTGATATACAAGGTCCGGTTCCAGAAACAGTACTCAGCGATAGGGAACAACCATAAGTGAGAGACGCAGAGAGCTATGGTAAAGCGTGAGAGGACACAGCGAGCTATGGTAAAGCGTAGGACTGGTTGTGTGGCAGCGCAAGCGGAGTGTGGAGACCGCATCGGACAATCACATTCGACGACATTACCCAGCCCACATGCAATGTTATTACCCGTTATTATTATCCTTCAGCTCCTTTCCCATGCACTTCTGACCGGAGAAAGTGACACGCTACAGCAAGTGCGGGCTCAATAGCACCACATACGGCAGGACCAGGACCCAGGGAGGTAAGTGTACGTTTGTCTCTAGAAAAAAAGGCGTCCCACTCATTACGGCACAGGAATGAGTTACCCAAAATGAGGAATGTAGAGAGGAGTGCCGTAGCTTACCGTGTGTTCACCTAATATAGACACTGAGAATTTATAGATTGTTTTTAACAACCTCTCTTGGAGCGGTAACGTAAAATATCCTGAGATATGAAGGGCATTCGCACTCACTTCACCTTGAACGGTACCCTTCAAAAAGGAATAGCTTTCCGTAGATGGCCATCCAGTGCATCCAGCGTGAAAGCCATTTCTGGCAGTAGCGGCAACTGTGTATCCGTCACAACCACATTGGGTATCGCAGCCTAGGTGTGAAATAAGAAGTCGTATTTGATATTTCAACGTACATTCCCTACTTACTTACATTTTAGTTCCGGTTCTAAAGCGAAGAAAATAGCATGTTCGCATAGCAGTATGTAACGATTATATTGGGTTGGAAAGAAAGTCCTGTCAAGGTTTTTTGAATAGTTACAGCTTTCGATTTTTGACGCATGAAATGACGTAACATGCTATGCTTGTAGGACGCTCTTGAAGCTTTCCCGTGAGAGGTATATGAGTCGCTGTGAGCCGCTCTTCCTGTGGGTTTAATTACGATGTCAGTTTCACAGGAGTATCTTCGAGTCATCATCTTCTATGAGTGGCTCCGCGGCACTGGAGCGACGGCAGCTGTTCGCAACATCAACAGTGCATTGAGAGAGGACACCACTACCACCGGCACTGTCCACCGCTGGTTCGCTCGTTTCGCGAAAGCGACAAGTTTCCGAAGACAATCCGGTAGGGACGCCCTCACGAAGTTTACTCCAGTGTTCTCGTAGCTGTCAAGGAAGATCCGGAGGCTACCATCGGCATTTTTGCGACAGGACTCGGGTGCACCTAAATGACAGTCGTCAACCGCCAGCAAGCCTTAACATTGGCACCCTGACCGGCCGCTCTGCCGAACTGACGGACATGCTGACGGAAAGGAACATCGACATCTGCGCTTTTAGGAAACGAAATTGGCCAGCGCCAAGACGAGAAGCATCGAAGGATACAACTTGTACTATAACGGAGAGCGATCCCAACGGTGTCGCCATTGCAGTGTCACAGAGGCTAGAGCACGCAGTTCAAGATCAACACGGGTTTTCCGCACCATGAAAATTACTGTGTTCTCCGTCGAAAGGGCAGCCCATATTATGTGCACCTGCGCTCAGCAAGGAAATTTGCCCACTGCCGACAAGGACAAATTCTGAGAACAGCTCGCCGACGTAGCATCCTCGCTTCCATCTGACGAAGACCTGTACATCATGGTTGATTTCACAGGGCACATAGGCGCAACCAACCACTAGTTCGAAGACACTCAAGGACGATTCGCCTACGGCACAAGGAATGATGATGGCATACGCGCATTGGAGTTCGCCGAGTCACTGGATTTGATTATCAACTCCTTCTTCCAGAAGAGAGAATTCCACGTAGTCACTTACTATAGTGGGGGAAGTAAGACCCAGAACGACTACATTTTGACGCGGAGGAGCCAACGAAGCAGCGTGCTGGACCGCAAGGATCCCATCGGTATCGGTCAACAGACAACATCGTCCAGTCATTGCGACCATTAATATGCCGGCCAACTCATCTGCCTTCAAGCAGCCAAGTCACCAGAAAGCTTTTGAGGTGGAACAGGATTGCTACACTGAGACCAACAGTCAAGGACCACTTATCGATGAAGATCGGGTCACTCATACGTTGAGCAAAGAACTGCAGAGACCTGTCGGTGAAATCCGAGATGAACGAACCAGCCCGACTTGTTGGATCTCCGACTTCTGATACCACGGGGATCAATTGATCGCCTTGCCCAATTAGATGGAGCACTGTATTGGCTATATTGTTACTATACTGTTAATATTGTTAATATTTAACTTCTATTCCATGCTGAGCTAGGAAAAAAAATCGCAGCGGTGACAAGGCTTTCTTCCCAGCCTAATACATGTGTACGAGATCAATGTGTTATTAACTTAGGAAGACAAGAGGAACGTAATTCGCCGCGCTCTGTACGTCGCGGTGGACTCCGTCTGCAAAAGGACGAAGGTTGCAGGTAGTAGTATGGCAAAAACATGCAATTAAGGACCGAAAACAGTAATGACTGTCTACGATGACGGGGTCTACATGAAGTCCGGTGCTCCATTCGACAGGTTAAAACGAGTTATGAAAACGCCGCGTCCATCGCCGCGCGTGGCGGTGCGGCAAATTACGATCCTCTTTACCGTCTCCCGGTTTAGGGACGCGAAATACCAGTGTGAGCACCAAGAACAGGAGCAAAGAAGCTATGAAGTACCCTAGGTTTTTCACACATTCACAAACTCCTGGGAACTCGTGAACCTTTTCGAGCTAAACTTCGTGAAGAACAGCTAGGATCTCACTCAACTGCCTCCAGTTGAGTGAAGGTTCCACAATGGTAGCCGAGCCTAGGCGAAAACCTTCAACCTGACCAAATATTCTGTCACTTCTAGCCAGCCAGCTCCGAGAGATGATTGACAGGTATTAGAGGGATTTGTGGCCTCAATATGTATTCACTAAAATGAGAAGCTAGGACGAGGTTAAAGGCAAGACGTTGAAGGGTACCTCAGAGCCAGTAGACAGAATTAATTGAAGAGTGACAGACTTACCCAGGCAGTCGTAGCTGCACCCGAGACTGTTGAAGTGTACACCTTCGTCTTTCTGAGATTCTGAAGCAAGCGACGGCCAGATCAGGGGTCGAGGAGGGAACATTTCCAACGCAGCTTCCTCTCGCATCGAACGCTGAGGAAGAGAGACAGGTCCATTCATGTGAAGGGTTCTTAACAAGTTAATACACGAACTTCCCTGTTGAAGGCAGGTTCCTCGATCAGGGCACGTCGTACGTTGGGGATCCTCAGTAAGGGGGCTCGTATTTGATTGGAGAGAGGACCATATTTGCTTTTGGGAAAAGTTTTTGATTGTTGACTTTTCCCTTTTCCCGGTTATTCCCGCTCCAGGTGCGCTATACACCTTGGGAATGTTGGTGAACGTTTAAAAACACGGGTTTGCTCTTCACCCAAACACTCCCCCCACTCCGCTTGAGGGAATTTTTCTGGGTGGGAGAGGAATGGGGAACTCTGGGGAAAAAACTCCGAAGAACTGGTGGGAAGTTAGGGGGTATCTAGTGAGATAGGCAGGATGTGGAAATGGAAAAGGGGCCATGAGGGGAGGAAATTTGGGAGTCATATTTTGCAGAATTTTCCACAACGGTAGGACGTCTTCTGTTTCCGATAGCTTCAGATATGAGCTGTGGGCGCATACTAAACTCCCCCATCCCCTTCCTCTGTGGACAAAAAAGTCAAAAGGACACTTAAGTGGGAGCGACCATTCGTAGTTATTTACCATTTATTCAAGAGACTGTGCACTGGTCAATCAATTTTTGAATTTTTGCAAGATTCTACAATCATTACTGCTACATCTAAGAAACATTTAGCACTTTGACGAAGTTATTAATCTTAATCTAGACTATCGAGTATAATATAGCTTGTTATATTTGAGCAAAATTTACAAGTCCCCAACAGATCGCGAACAAGTCACGCCTATCGCGTGAAGGGAGCTCTTGTCGGATATGACCTCTCCTTTATTATTTTTACGACACCCTTTCTCCATCCCCATTCCTACTATCACTTCCTGAGTTTTTCCTGGTTTATCTCACTACCGATTGTTTGTGTGTGTCTATGTAGTAGTTTCCTATGTTGTTTCTCCAGATATCTCTAACAAGCATGCGATATCAGCAAATCTTGAGCTTTATGGGGGGGGGGGAGGAACGGAGGTAGGCGTGTCGCAGGCTAAAGACGGTGGGGAGAAGCCGCAGGTGGTGAGTAGCGTGCGGTATCTGACAGCTGTTGCTTGCAGAGCGGAGAACGAAAGAATATGTAGCCTGATCAGCAGACCGCTTGCGGGGGCGTTAACTCGGTGTCACGGATTCGTTTTTGCGAGTGAGCAGAAGGAGTGATACGCCGTAGCGGCAGGCGGGGCGCCTGCTTGACCTTTGCCTGTGGAAAAAACGGGAGACGGGGGGCAAAACAATGCGTTAAGTGCCTTGCTGTATTCGCGCGCCGGCGCGCTCGGGCGCGCAAGCCCGGCGCTGTTGAATTTCATGCGGACTATGAATATTTGTGGCTGTTTTTAGGTTTTACATTGTCTATTGTTGTCATTCCCTAAGACATCGTCTATGGGCGCGACGTCGCACGCAACGTTCACCAGCGGGGCGAATCACGATTGTCTCGTCGCATACCAATTAGTCTTGCAAGTAGACATGCAGTTTCCTTTTTGAATGCCGTCCTAATCTTGGACCGAAGTCGCGATTATGGTGCATTTCAATTAATATTGCTCAACGCCATGCGCATTACTGAAACAGATCATATACATTTATTTCTTATCGCAACTTTTCGGGTCAATATCTGATTTTAGTGAGCTCTTTGATTCTTCATCTTTTACGCCTCCTAGCACTCGTCCTGTGTGGCTAACCGCTCGGTAGTCCATGCCATAGTCAGCTATCCGGAACAGCCTCTCCATTTCCTATAACAATATTGGTATTATGATCATTCAAACCAGCAAGCTCGCGCTGGCGAACATGACCCAACGGGAAGAGCCATTAAGTAAGCTGAAAGAGAAAATAAAAAAATACCTTTTCCATTAAAAGAGATCGGTCAGGCAGAAACTGCAATTCAGGGCAGTTCACACCTACTGACTCTGCCAAAGATCTCCGTAAAGAGTGGCGGTTGCGCTCCAGACAGTCTTCAATCTTCTGGAAATATGTTTACATAGTTATAGTGAAACAATTATAAAGAGAGAGGGTGCTGAAAAACAAAAGTCTTTTTGATGTTTTTATTTGATGCTGTAACCCTTGCGAACATCGAGACTTAGGGAGAGGTAGAGGGACGAGGTGCCGACTACCACATCCACAGTCAAATCATTGATCAAACCCCACCCAGGCCAACTAAGCCCTGAGACCTCACTCGAGCCTATTAACTACAAGTCTTGTTTGAAGGGCGAATACACAGATCTGTCTATCGACTGACCCCAACGCAGGTCATTAGACCTTTCAAGAAGGAAACGAGTACCGTGAAATGATTTATCATTTTCTTTTGACAACAGGATTATACATACAAAAGCTCACCTCATCATTTACATCGTCGCAAAGCCACCATATCTTCACAACCGTGAAAGAGCTGTTAACTTGCACCTGCAAGAGAGCCAAAGAGTTACTGAAAGGCATAAACGTCTGATCATAGAACCTCGAGTTTCTGCCTCAAACGGTATATACAATTTTCACTTTAAATTCACCACTTTTCAAACCAAATTCACCACCACTTTCCAAATCTCACTACCTCCACTACTCCCCACACTAATTAGGACGTGAAATTCATCAACCAGATGACGCCATGACAGACTGCGAACCACGGCCACGCGACGCGGCCACGCCTACTTGTCAGCGCAGACATAGATTTTCAAATCTTGTTTCATAATTTCTGCTTCTGTGACTTTTCTTGTCTTTTGTAGTTTCCTTTAGGCCGCGCCCACTACTTGCTTTTCTGGAGATTTTGTTGATTGTTTTTTTCTTATTTTGCATTTTTTTGACTGATACGTGAAGCCCCGCCCACTGTGAGAGGCTCCGCCCACTCTGGAGAAGCCCCGCTCACTTTTCAAAAATGGTGCAAATCAGCAGTATAGAGTCTCGGCTGTTATGCTGGGTACTGATGATCATTCGGAACAAACTTCGCCTGATTATCTTGTTCTGAGTGGCGAACGAAATCGTCACCAACCCTCTGAACGCCACCAATGTGGATGGGGTGGGCAGGTGGGGCGATGGCGCCTGTGTAAAGGAAGAATCAAGTATCAAAAAATCCCTGACCGCTCTCCTCTCCCCCGCTGGGTTCCCCCACGTAGGACGTGCCCTGTGTGTAAGTTGGATAGTCTGAAGGAAGATTTAATTGTGTGATTTATTGTTATACATTTAGACCTCTTCTCACCTTCGTAAATTGTACGGCATAAGAAGACAGTTCTTCGTTAGCTGAAACGCACGTTGAGTTTAGATTTTTCTTTCTTTCGAGAATAAGCTGCATAAGCTGGGTCATTTTCTTTTGATCCAAACGTCTTTCACGCCGCCCGAGTGACGACAACAGGATCCGATCCTCCAACCTGTAGGAACCATCATTTTACGATTAACAGCTGCTATACAGACTATATCAAAAACAGCGAGAGAGTCAGATTACGTACCCATATCATAGCCAAACCTTTTCCCCGATTTCATCGTGCGAATGTTTCCTTTTCCACTTGCGCATCCGCAACGCCAGCTTGTCGTGGGAGAACACAAGAGTCTTAAACAAAATTCTGACACTTCGTAACGAGTGCGAAGCTAGGAGTCCTCTAAATTGGAAAGAACACTAGACTCCAACGAGGAATGCCAACTCACTCCCGGTTCTTCCTGTTTTTCTATTCAAGTATGAAACTTTGTGAGCGTAGCGCACATTCATCAGCCTATTCAAGCAGGCCATAGACGTACACGGAGTGAATGACATCGCACCTCTAAAATTCGACTCTTCAGAATGATAAGTACTGTTGAGAATGTCCCGGGAAGCAGGTAAAGATATTACTGTATAACATATAATACTCGCTACTCATAATAAGTTGCCTGGGGCGAACTGTGAAATTAATCTACAATACCATGCAGTCCAACTCATCCGAATAACGTGGCGCAACGGTTATCAGTGCTTGCTGGCATTGATAAACGCTAAGTTTCTGGAGTTCCGAGCCGGCGACGTGTATTGGAGAACTCACCAAAGGTCTGCGAAACTCGTCCACATGCCTTAAATTTCGTAGGGTCTTATTTCACGCTCTTCCACACCTTTTTCCTACTTTTTTTGATTAGTGCTTCATTGGCCACCTGTTCTAACAAATTTGACCCCTGAGACCTGCCAAAGTCCATCGCGGGCGCTGTCTTTAAAGCACTTTATATCGAGAGCGAGTTCGTGTATAGTAGCTGAAAAGCACCACCTGAATGTCGCCGTTTGATGTATACTACACAATCTGGGGACGAAGAACCTTCTAGCCGCTTGCAGAATAACTTTCCTAACGCTTGAAATGCGCGTTTTTCTGAAATATTGGTAATATGTGAAGCAGAATAGCAATCCCATTAAAAGACCGAGTAATGGATAAGACAAACAATTCAGTAGTTTGCGCCGAACATATTAATAAGAGTTCACAAATGCAGACCACTCGACAAAACTGCAAGAAATCGGTGTATCATCATTGCATCCATGAGTTTTCGAAATCCTCTCCAAGCAACTTTACAGTAGGAGTGAACGATAGCGCCCGAGGATAGGCCCTGGACAAAAGAAAAATGTTGGGCGGCACGTGCCAGCAAAACAGGCGGATTTTCACCATAAGTTCAGTTAGGCCCAGACGCATGGAAACCTTAAGTGCGTCTTGGCATAGCGGCTTTAAAGGGCAGAGGAGTACTTGGCGTGTTTATGGAGAACGAGGCTTGCACAGTGTGAATGAAATAACGAAATCTTAAAAGCTAGATGGAAAGGTTTCAGGATAGCTCTCGAACCTTTGGAAAAATATCAGTGGTGGATAGGCAGAAGTTCAAGATGACAACCTCGACCACTTTCGCTAATTTTTCTGGTGGTGGAAATGCTGGTCCCGGAAATGAACATAATGGGCGAACCTGGGTTCTGTTTCAGTACAGTGAAGCAGTGAACAGTTAGACAAGTCAATTGCGAAGTTAGCAAGTCGTAGCGTGCTCAGCGGACAGTTCCCGGCTACAAAGCAAGAATAAGTCGGGCTAGTACTTCCGAACGGCAGCCACGAACGGGTACCTATCGTAAATGGGGTGTGGTAGGTAACGCGTGTTCTGGGATAGCTCGATAATCAGAGAGGAACAATGGCATTGGGAGGCGGCACCTTGCATGGTGAAAGGAAAGGAAACCCAAAATCTATTCATCTTCGGAGACCCTGCTCATCGTTATATAGTAGCTGTGGGATGCGGAAAGATATCATTAGTGTCCCAGCGTTTTCAGCGGTTTGTCTTGTTCTACGTCTCCAGGCCATGCAATTCTAGACGGTGGGATAATCATTCCTGCGTGTTCCCACCATTGTCCTGAGGCGAAACACCGGTTTGATAGGTTTGGGAAAACAAAAGCACACCCGTCATCACATTTTCACAACGTTATCAACTCATTATCAGTTAAGCAGTAGTGTGCCGATAAACACGTAGACTGTACATTGCGTACTGTGTAAGAACTAAAAAAAATAAAATATTTACCAAGTGTACAAATGTGAATTTCAGAGCACAACTAACATCCAAAACGGCAAGGGAAGCTCCTACACAGCACAGAATAAAACATAAATTAGGAACAACACCAGACTCGCAAATATATCACAATTAAAATCTAGTAGAAATACGAGTTGATAAAGTCAAAAAAGGAACATGTATCATACAAAGCCAGTTAATGAAGTATGCAAGCGGCGAAATTACTTACAATGTGAGAAAAATCAATGACTGTCAACTCCTATAAAATTATTTAATCTCTGTAAATATCGCTGACGATTATGTTCTATCATTGTCCATTTTCTTTCTGTGTACATGCGTTTCCATTGAGAAGCATCCGATGACACCTTTAAAGAGAATAAATA